CCCCCCCAGCCAGTGGATGGCAGGCCCCAGATACACTCTTCAGGCAGCTTGGGCTTAAAAGCACGTCTGAGTGGTTTTTAGACTAAAAATAACATAAACATACAGAGATTTTTGATGGGGAGAGTGGGAGGACCCCACCTCCGAAAGGGAACTTCAGAGATGAAAGGGGCCTCTGCCCTCAGGCTTTCACAGCCCAGTGGGGGAGGTACAGATCCTGGTGATGACATCTGGTGGCACCTAACTCAGCCTGACCCCAGGTAGAAGAAATCTGGGAAGGCTTCCTGGAAGAAAGTGCCTGAGCAACGTCTTCACGCATTCAGCAGCACTTAACGGAGTGCTTGCTGTTCCAGGTGCAGTTCCAGGTACTGGGATGGAGCAGTGAGTAAGATGAAGCCTTTGCTCCTGCAGCTTTGGGGAGGGAGGGGAATGGAAAATAGATATAAAAGTGACATGTCACAAGGGATGTGTGCTCAGAAGAATAAAGTAGGGTGAGGGGATGGGAGGTGGCAGTGGAGGGTGCTGTTTTAGGGTGGCCAGCAGTAGGCACTCAGATGAGGTGACACTTGAGCAGAGATGGAAGGCGATGAGAAGGGGAGGTGAGTGGATTCCATGGCAGGAAGAATTCCATTCCTTCCAGGCAGGAAGAGCAGGTTCAAAGGCCCTGCGGTGGGCGTGTGGCTGTGTGTTCTCGAAACAGAGTTGGAGGGTTGGAGGGTCGGTTATGAAGGGGGCAGTCAGGTGACATAGGGCCTCGTAAGTCCTTCAAAAGACTTGGGCTTTCCTAAGGAGAGAAGGGAAGCCCTGAGAGGGTTTTCAGCAGAGAATAAGCCACATCATGATGTGACTTAAGTTTTGTGTATGTGGTAAAACACACATAATAGAAAATTTACCATTTTAGCCATTTTTAAGTGTACAGTTCAGGGGCATTAAGTACATTCACATTGCTGTGCAACCATCACCACCATCCATCTCCAGACCTTTTCATCTCTCCAAACTGAAACTGGCACCCAGCACTGTACTTTCTGTCTATGAACCTGCCTTATTCTGAGTACCTCAGATAAGTGGGATCATGCAATCGTTGTCCTTCCGTGACTGCCTTATTTCACTTAGCATCATGTTTTCATCCATGTTGTAGCATGTGTCAAATTTTCCATCCTAATTTTTAAGGCTGAATAATATCGCCTGGTGTGTGTAGGACACATTTTGTTTATCGATTCACCCATCGATGGACACTTGGATTGCTCCCACAATTTAGCAGTTGTGAATAATGCTGCTGTGAACATGGGTGTTGGCTTATCTGTTTGAGTTTCTACTTTCATTTCTTTGGGGTTGTGACTTAGGTTTTTAGACGATCCTTCTGGCTGCAGTGTGGACAGCAGACTGTAGGGCCAAGGGCAGAGTGGGAGGGCATTTTAGGGCTGCGGCCACAAGCCAGGTGAGACGTGGTGGGGGCCTGGATCAGAGCCACGAGGTGGAGGTGCTCCAGCTGGCGGTGTTTGCGGAGAGACAGGGAGGGGTTGAGCAGGGCTCTGGGGTCTCTATCTGGGAACCCGGAAGGCTGAAGTCCTGTTTTCTGAGATGGGTCCACAGTGGGAGGGGCAAGTTGAGGGGCGAGACCGGTGTTCTGTTCCAACCTGTTGGTTGGAGAGGTTCTTGGACATACAAGGAAGATGGAAACCAGGCATTTGATACTCCTGTCGGGAGTTTAGGAGGTAGACGTTTGGAGACTGTCAGTGAACAGGTGGTGTTGGAAGCCAGGATGGGCTGCAGGCCCCGGGAAGCCAGTGTGGACTGAGCCTGGGCTGCCAGCGTTAGGGTGGGTATAACAGACGTTTCAGGGTCACTGGGGACGTTAACAAGGGTGGCTCAGGAGGAGTGGTTGGGGCAAAAGGGGGTCTGAGAGACAGTGAGGGTTCAGGCAGTGGAGACAGTGAGTAGAGACGAGTTTGGCGAGTCCTGAAGGCTGAGAGGAATTGTCTAGAAGGAGGGGGTGGGAGTAGCAGGCTGTCCGGGGGTGGGCCAGTGGAGCTTCCAGAATTCGGGAAGCAGGAAGTCTGGCTGCAGAGTGAGGTGGGCAGAGAAGGCAGCAGGGGTGGGGGTTGAGGTGGGGACTCTCCCTCTCTCTCTTCCTCTCTCTCCCTCTCTCTCTCCCTCTCTCTCTCTCCCACTCTCTCTCTCTGTCTCTCACTCTCTCTCTGTCTCTCTCATCCCCCTGCTTTGCTCTCGGGCTTCAGGATTTCCCAGGTGCAGCTGGCAGATTCCGGCATCTTCACCTGTGTGGCTTCGAGCCCAGCGGGCGTGGCCGACAGGAACTTTACCTTGCAGGTGCACGGTACGGAGCAGGGGAGTGGGTTAGCGGGTCCTTCGGCCTTAGGGGCGAGAACCAAGGCTCTTGTCCCCTCCCCTCTGCCCATCTGGGTGAAACCAAGGCTTGGCCCCTCAGGGATGTCAAGGCAGAGGGCAAATACTCAGTCTCTGATTCATCCGGTCACTCATTGATCTCACAAGTAGTTGTTGGACACTAGTGTACCAGGGCCTTGCCAGGCACTGGAATATGACAGTGAGCAGAGGCAGCCCTGACACCAGGAAGTCGGTGAGGGAAACAGCTCTGTAAAATTAAAATTCCACGGAACTAGGGATACCAGGGTAAGGAGAGGGTGCCACAGGAGCACAGAGGAGGGCACCTCACCTGGCCTCGGGGGTTCAGGGAAGGCTTCCTGGAGGAGGTGAGGTCTAAGCTGAGGACTGGAGATGAGAAGGAATAGTCCAGGAGAAGGGCATTCTGGCCAATAGTTACAGTCTGTGCAAAGTCCAGGGGCGAGGGCCACCTGGCATTGGATAAGTTGGTTCGTGCCCACTCTTTTGCCCTGTGCAGTGCCCCCTGTCCTGGAGCCGGTCGAGTTCCAGAATGACGTGGCGGTGGTCCGTGGCTCCCTGGTGGTCCTCCCCTGTGAAGCCCGGGGCAGCCCCCTGCCCCTCGTGTTGTGGATGAAGGATGGGGAACCCTTTTTGCCCCGGAGCCTGGAACAGGGGCCTGGCCTACATCTGGAGACAGTGGGAGTTGGCGACTCAGGGATCTACTCCTGCGTGGCCGTGAGCGAGGCAGGGGAAGCGAGGAGGCATTTCCAGCTGACGGTGATGGGTGGGTCACCTGCCCCCAGCGCCAGCTTCTCTGGGCCAGGGACGGGACAGGGGCCCTCTGGGGGCGATGGAGGCGGTGAGAGAGGTGAGCACCCTGGAGGCTTGGGGCTTAGGGAGCAGGCCTCGCTGACCTGGCTGCAGGGGCTGGGGGCCAGGACACTTCATTCTCCTGGGGCTGTGCCCCTCTGTCTTGTCCTTGGAACCTTGTAAAGCAGGAAAAAAGCCATCGAAATCTTGGAGCTCTAAGTCTGAAGCACAAGATTTTGCAAGTGTGCCCTATTGGAAAGATGCGTTTCCCTCCATACTGTATCCTTGTTGTTGTTGTTTTTTTTTTTTGCGGTACGTGGGCCTCTCACTGTCGTGGCCTCTTCCGTTGCGGAGCGCAGGCTCCGGACGCGCAGGCTCAGCGGCCATGGCTCACGGGCCCAGCCGCTCTGCGGCATGTGGGATCTTCCCGGACCGGGGCACGAACCCGTGTCCCCTGCATCGGCAGGCGGACTCTCAACCACTGCGCCACCAGGGAAGCCCTCCTTGTTGGTTTTTAAGCGCAAATCATTGTCCCAGGCAGATGGGCCCATGCTCGGACGTGTTTAGGACCCTCCAACACAATCACCACCCACCTGTTTGCAGGCCCATGTACTGTCAGCATCTGGATGGTGGGGGAGGGGAATGAACCCCAGATCCTAGTGTTCTGGGCACGGCCCCCATGGCTGACCCAGGGCGGGGTGTCTTGCAGATCCCCCCCACATTGAGGACTCAGGCCAGCCTGCAGAGCTGTTGCTGACCCCCGGCACCCCCTTGGAGCTCCTCTGCGACGCCCGGGGCACCCCCCAACCCAGCATCACGTGGCACAAGGATGGGCAGGCCCTGAACAGGCTGAAGGACAGCAAGAGGGCCGGGCGGGGGCTCCGGGTGGAGGGTGTGCAGGTGCTGCTGTCCCCCCTCCTGTGGCATGAAGCAGGGGAGGGGAGGGGAGGGACCAGTGGCACTTGGCAAGGTTTGCCCAAGCTCCACTTTTATTCCGGGTATGAGGATGTGGAGAGGACCCCCCCACCCCGGCCCCGGGCCATGCCCTTGGGAGCTCCCAGTCAGGTCAGACCCAAGGCTGATGCAGAAACCAGATAAATCCCTAACCCCACCAGAAGAGAACTGGTACAGTCAAGGGGGACTCCCTGGACGAGTAGCAGACTCTGCCCTAGCCCTAAAGCAAGGGTGAGCCAGTAATAGGGAAGAAACATCCCAGAGAGGAGAAGGGGTTGGTGGGAAAGGCAGGATGGCTGACTCAGCAGGCCTGAGGCTAAATCCTGGGTCCTCAGCTGTGTAGGAGGGAAACCAGATCAGGAGGTGGGCAGGGTGGGGCCAGAGGTATCTGCTCACCCTGCCCCATCCCCAGGTGGGTGACGCTGGGCTGTACACTTGCCTGGCCCAGAGCCCTGCTGGTGAAATCGAGAAGAGCTTCCGGGTCAGAGTTCAAGGTAGGGGGGTGCCAGAGTGGGGGCAGGAGAGGGAGGCAGGATGGGACCTGCAGGGGTGGGTCCCTCTCTCATGTCCTCCCTACCCACCTCACCAGCCCCCCCAAATGTCATTGGGCCCCAAGGCCCCCGCTTTGTGGTTGGCCTGGCCCCGGGACAGCTGGTTCTAGAGTGCTCGGTGGAGGCAGATCCAGCACCGGAGATTGAGTGGCACCGTGACGGCATCCTGCTGCAGGTGGGTGCCAGGCTGGTGACCCAGGGGCACCGCTTTCTGTCCCTCTCAGGCCCCAGACCCTGACCAGACTCGATCCCAGGTGCCGAGGGCCTATTCTGTGCCGGCACTTTGCATACCTGCTCTCCTGACGTTTCCCACCCCTGTTACTATTGTCACCCCCATACTGTGGATGGGGACACCGAGGCAAGGCTAAGATTTGTACCCCAGGGCTTCTGATGCATATCTGTGCTGTACCTTTGAGCTATGCTTAGTGGCTGTGTGGCCCGGGGCCAGTTACTGAGGTTCTGTGTGCTCACCCCTGAAATGGGGCCAATTTGCTGCTGTGGACCCAAGGATTGTAGATCTGGTGGAAGCTCCAGCTCCTAGTGTGAGCGTGGGTGCCCCCTGCAACATGCCCGACAGGCAGAGCTCCAGGGAAGATGCTCTTCCCCTCCCAAAGGAGCCTATTTCCCCAGAAAGTCCTCAGCTGGGCATCAGTTCAGGGGTTGCAGGCTGGCCCAGAATGAATGGGGCAGAGACCACTGTCCGGCCCCGCTGGTTCCTTGGTCCTGGTGCGTGGGGGGCTGGCCTGGCCCAGCCCAGCACTGATGAGGGTCTCTCCACCCTGGGGGTCTCTACAGGCAGATGCCCACACCCAGTTCCCAGCGCAGGGCAGGTTCCTCCAGCTGCAGGCCCTGAGCACGGCCGACAGTGGCAACTACAGCTGCACAGCCCGCAATGTTGCAGGCAGCACCAGTGTGGCCTTCCACGTGGAGGTCCACAGTGAGTGGCGCCCCCCACCCGCCCTGCCCCCCCCACCCCCGAGAGCGACAGGGTCCCAGCACCCGCCCCCTCTGTGCCTCTCCTCCAGCGGTGCCCACCATCCGGCCGGGACCACCTGCAGTGAACGCCTCCGTGAACCAGACGGCTCTGCTGCCCTGCAAGGCAGATGGTGCCCCCCCGCCCCTTGTGAACTGGCGGAAGGACGGCATCCCTCTGGATCCTGAGAGCCGCAGGTGGGAGCTGGTAGGGGAGGGCATCAGGGAGGGGCTCAGTTACCTCTTTATGGGTTGCAAACGGAAGCCCACCTGGGCAGTTGGAGCAGAAAGGACATGGGTCTTCTCAGAACCCAAGGACATACATGCCCATTCGTTAAGGACGTGAGAACCCCTGGTGGCTGTCTGGCTGTCTGTCTAGTTTTGACTCTTGGTTGCTTGTCTCTGTTTCTGTGTGTGAGGGCTTCATGCCTCTCTCTCTCAGACCAATTTTCTACACCTTCTTTCTCTAAGAACATGGCAGAACGGCTCCCCCCACACACCTCCCCCTGCCCCCCAGCCCTCCCGCCCCTGGCCAAGTTATAGCTGCTCTGTTCACACAACCTGCAGACCCTGGTGAGCTGTCTGTGAATCCAAGTTCCAAATTCCCAGGGCAGAGAATTCCGTTGGCTCAGCCTGCATGATGTGTTCATCCCCCGTCCAACCGGCTGTGGCCAGGGGCGGGGTCACACGGTACAGACATGGCCCCTGGGAAAGGGCAGTTTTCCGACCTAATCTAGGGGCTGTTCTCAGAAAGGGTTGGGGTACCACTGCCCTCTGGCTCTTGGGGGGGAGGCTGGGCCCAGGTGGGAGCACGGGAGGCCCGAAGCAGCCCCTCTCACCCTTTCTGATGCTGGGTTGTGGTGCAGGTCGCTGCCCAAGGCTGTGGCCCCACGCCCCACCCCCCCACCGACCTTGGCCTCACAGATGCAGGACTCCTGATTTAGCATCCTCTTGCTCAGAAAGCCAGAGACCAAGGGGAGGGTCTTGCTGGAGACAGCACCAGGGGCCCAGCTCCTCCCTAGGGACTTGCTGGTCTGCCGGTATCCATGGCAACCCCTCCCTGTGTTCCAGGTTTCAGGTTCTGCCTGAGGGTTCCCTGAGGATCCAGCCAGTCCTCGCCCAGGATGCTGGCTACTACCTCTGCCTGGCGTCCAACGCCGCAGGTTCCGATCGGCAGGGCCGTGACCTCCGGGTCTTCGGTAGGTAGAGGAGGGAAGGTGTGTTTGTTTTGCCTTCAGCATCCACCCCCTGTCTGGACCGGCTCCTGCTTAGTTTCTGGTTCATCTTAGCTGTCAGGAGCCGAGAACAACGATCTCCAAATGTTTTTGACCTTGAATCCTATTAATAAAAAGTTTTGAGCATGTACACTCCAAGATGCATATTGGGGCTTCCCTGGTGGCGCAGTGGTTGAGAGCCCGCCTGCCGATGCGGGGGACGCGGGTTCGTGCCCCGGTCCGGGAGGATCCCACGTGCCGCGGAGAGGCTGGGCCCATGAGCCATGGCCGCTGAGCCTGCGCGTCCGGAGCCTGTGCTCCGCGACGGGAGA